ACCTTTCTATAGACCATGGGATCTGGGAGAATCATTGCATCCCCCAAAGCCAGGAGAGACAGCATAAGAAAATGAGCTTCTGGGAAGTGCTCACCCCTAGACCTGGGCTCTTTTTAGCTGGAATCCAGAGCAGTTTGTCCAATCTGCAAGCAGAATCACCTTATAGGCATCCTTACTTCACCGCTAATCACAAGCGATGTCACCAATCAAGCAGCCCTCCAGTCTCTGCCTGTCACCCAATGGCAAGTTCCCAGAGCCAGACTAAGTTTGGATCTCTTGTCTGCAGTGCCTCCCAGTACTCAGGGTACTTGCACAAATCTAAAGAACAACTGAGCCCCAGCAAATCACTTAACCCCTTGGCCTCGGTTTCCTCATCTGCAAATAGGAACGGTACTCATACCACCCAACTATTGTCTCTTTGTTCTTAAAGGCCCTTTCTGGGCCTTGTGGGGAGAAAGGGACCCCTGAGGAACAGGGCTGGGAATAGATGTTTCTCAAATGACAATAGGGCAGCTTTGGGGGGAAGGGGGGTCATCAGTGCAAAATGTACCTAGCACACTGCCTCACACATAAGCTTCTAAGTAACAACAGCTACTGCTGTTACTATTACTACAATTAAATAATCATTCATCACACTAAACTAAATAATACTGTTATTGAACGGGTCACTTAACCCTTTATCCCCTCTCAATCACTCTATCTCAGTAATCATGTCTTAATTATGAACTATGACCTACAGGACGAGAGAGAGAAACACTCCAAAAGGCCATGCAAAGCCAAGCCAATGTGTATCATTGGCCCCACATCAACTCTGCCTTCCTGAGCTGGGACTGTCTTCCTCAAAGCCCTAGTTAGAATGTACAGGTCTAGAGTGCCAGCTCAGAGCAGAGGGAAGGTTGACAAGATGCCATATCCTCTCTGAATCAGAGCTAAGGGCCTTGTTGTTGAGTCAGCTGCAGACCCTGAACTCTGTGGGGAGTGAACACTGGAGGGGATGTTAGCTTCTGACTCCGACCTTTAGCATAGATCCCCTCCCTAAATGCCTTTCTGTACAGGGCTGTGAAGGGAGCCAAGTCTGGCCTCAGGAGCTGCCCAAGGAACGGACATTATTCCTCAGGGAGGGTTTCCTACCACATCCCCTTCAGAACCCTTAAGGAATCTAAAGTAGGGTGAAGGAGACAGCTGGTGAGTAAGGGCTGTGTGCTCTCAAGCAATTCAGGACCCCATCCAGGCCCCTAAGGGTTAAGATTGAGAGCGAAGGGCGGGGGGCCAGGGTCAGTGCTGGACAGACGGGCCTGGAGCCCAGGGCCGCCTCCCCTCCCCCTCCCCTGGGAACAGAGGCCACTTGTTTGGGCACTGGTGGCTGGCTTTGAGCTCAGCCAAGAGAGACTGGGGTAAGAAGAAGAGAGGCCCCCAGAGAACAGTGGGGACTCCCCTCCCTCCAACTAATGTTCAGGCCCAGTCCATCACTAGTCCCAATACTCTGAGCCACCACTTGTCCCCTCAACCGCCCTTTCCCTTGGTTCTGCCTTCTTTTCCCCCAACACTTGCTGGGGGAAAGACTTAGTTGGATTCCTACCCCCAGCTTAATGTTTCTTCAGTGCACTAGGTCTTATCACCCCACCCTACAGATGGAAAATAGAAGCTCTTTAAAGTATGGAAACATGCAGAGTGCTTCGTGGCTGTCCTAGGACTTCAGGCCCCAGATCCCAGGTGATCCTATGGCCCTCTGCAGGACCTCCTGCAGACCTCCAAGGAGACCCTTCCAAAGCTGTGCAGGTTGGAAGGAGAGGCAAGAGATAACCCATCTCTGAACCCTAAAAGTGCCAATGTACTTGAGGATTTGGATGGGGAACTAACTTGAGGGTAGAGGTACATTCAACTTACACCAAAGGCTGTCTTGATGTGTAGACAAGCAATAGTTGGAGCTCAGGTTGTGGGGATGAGGCTGGGAGTGAGGCTGGGGCAGAATTTGGAGGCCTGAATACCCAGACGCAGCCTAGGCAATGAGGCCACCTCCTCCTCACCAGTCACCAGAAGTCTGCCTGGGACACCTCCCTCCCATTTCAGTAAGCAAGTGGCCAATGGGGAGGCACAGGCTCCAGGGCAGGGTCTAGACAATCCCCAGCCAGCATGGGACACAAGGATGAGTTCTCTGCACACCATTCCCCAGCCAGTCCCTAAAGCCACACTCATCTCTTTGCCATCCCTCCATGGCGCTTATACAAAGTACACCATCATCTGGAGGCCCCTGCCCTTATAGTAAACTGCCACTTAACCACCAAGGCATCTCTTCCTCCCTGGGCCCCCACGGGTCCATACTTGCCTTACTTGTCTCTGACACTGCTGGGTTCCTTCTACCCTGTAATGATCCTGTTGGGAGGTCTCCAGAGCTGGGAGCTCTTGACTGTCCATGGGCAGACATCACAAGTGTCTCAGTCTGCGACCCTACTGTGTAGTCAAATCTCTCCCTAAGTACCTAGTCCACTCCCCCCTCACAACTTAGTCTTTGGATAAGGGAAAACTCCCTGGAAGACCAGATTTGGAGAAAGGTCTAAGGCAGAGGTCCACCTTGAAGGCTCAAGATCAGTTTCCCAGTAAGCAAAACCCACCTTGGGAAATCAGTCACACACACATACACACATAAACACACACACACACACACACACACACACACACACCCATCCTATACTCTAAGCCCGCACAGGCACACTTCAGACCCAACCACCCACTCCAGCTTGACCCCATTCAGTGAACACACCCCATGTTTCCGCAGCAATTGGGCCACATAGGCTCTTGGGAGGCCATGCCCCCATTTACTGATGTGGAATTGAGGTGTAGAGACCGGAAGTAGCTTGTCCAAGGTCACTGGAGCCCTAGGTCCAGGGCATAGGGTCAAGGGATCTGCAGATCCCTTAGGGTTTCAGGGGCCAAGGGGCTGGGGAGGTTCAGGTCACAGGTGAGAAAGGCAAGGCGCTCTAGGTGGACTGGCCCCGGAGCCCGAGCGCCCTCCCGCCGCAGGGCAGTGGGGCTCAGCCCCTCTTCGGAAGCTAGCGTCCGCCAGTTCACCCTCCTCCCTCCGGTCCGCCCCGGCGGCTCATCCTCGGGGCGACCTCCACCCACCCCAGCAAGCAGAGCGTGACCCCGGGGAATGGGCGCCAGGCGCGGTGGGGCCGCGCAGCCTCGCCTTTCCTTTCTGCGGAATGGGGACACTTTAGGACACACCTGGCCACGGGGGGGGGACGGCTGCGGACGTGGTGGCCCCCGGCAGGCGCACTGACCTGTTTCGAGCGAAGATTCCACGCGGGGACCCGGGGCCCGGGCGCCGCTACTGACTCACACCGCCTGTGCCACCCCGCGGCAGCGGACCGACCCGGCGCGCCCACCCCGCGGGACGCTTCCGCCCGCCCGCCCCACGTGACGTCCCGGGGAGGGCGGGGGCGGGGCCGGCCCTGGCCCCGCCCCCGGCCTAGTCACACTCGCAGATTCCTCTTTCCTGACTTGTCTGCCCACCGGATTGGTCCGTGAGTCTCAGCCTGCTCCCTCTCCCCCCACCCCCGCCCCGTTCCTCCATCTCCAGAGACCTAGGTCACACACAACCCTCCGGCTGAGTCTCCAACATTCTAAGAGTCTCCCTTCCTGGCCACCCCTGTTCTAGGGAGTTTGCCCCCAGGAGGAGTGAACTGCGCACATCCCGGGGCGAATGGGGCGTAGCCGACCTGGGACAACCTGGCTGGACCAGGAGACCTGCTGAACCACATTCTTGGAGGGTACCCCATTTCTCTCCCTGAGTCCACCTCCTCTGTGTGCTGGGGACGTGTCCTTCCAGAGAACATTAGACTTTTACCTCTCTTCCCAGCACATGCAGAGATGAGGGCCCCAGGCTCAGTGGGCCCTCTGGGTCCTATATCCAAGCCACTTCTAGGAACAGCCCTTCTCTGGGATCCTACTTTTCCATATGCACAGTGGGTATTTGTTAAAAATAACTCTCACCGAGTTGGTTTAAGGGTTTCCCCTGAGAAGAGGGAAGATGTCATTAATCGGAGCATCTAATACATGCCAGGCTTAGTGCTGGGCAATTTATTCCTTTGCTCACAATTCTCACACTTGCTTAAAGGTAAAAATTATCACTCCAGTTAATAGATGAGAAAATGAGGCTCTAAGCACTTTCCAGGTTTGCCCACAGTGACAGAGCAGAACACTGGGCAAAGTAACACTAGAAATCCATCACAATGAGAGAATCTCTTGGCCACTCACTTCACTGGCCACTCACCTATTCTTTGGGAAAGACTTGACTCTGAGTAGACTGTGTCTTTTGCTGGCTGGGCTAAGGTCAGACTTGGGGAGAAATTCTTGGCCCCAAGGAGTCCAAGGCCAAATTCTGGATCTGGCAGATTTGGGGAAGTAGAAGGGGCCACAAAGACCAGAGGCGGCCCAGGCCTCCCTCTAAATCTCAGCAGCCAGGTAGAGCATACGATGAGAGGACTGAGTTGGCATCCATCCAGGGCTCTGCTGTTTATGTTAACGCAGTCCTGAGGCATTCTATATAACCTAGGAAGGATGTAAATCTTAAGAGCCTGCTGCCTGCACTGCACTGTATTCATGAGGAAACTGTACCCCACCTCCCTCCCCAGGATGGGGGAGAGGGTCAGATGCCTAGTCTGTAACTGGGAAGCAAGGGGCCTTGAGCCAGAGATCCTGCAGTAGAACCTTCACCCTCCAAGAAGGCAGAGTAAGGCAGCCAAAGGGCCTGGCTTAAAGCACAAAGTGAGCACGCAACAATAACAAGTGGGTGATAAGAATAAGCTACTGGACAGGGAGGAAGGGACAAAGGTCAGGAAGAGGACAACCCCTTCTCCCAGCTACACATGGTGAAATGAGGAGGCACTTTAAGGATAGGAGGCCAGGAGACCAATAACATTAAGGCAATAACTGCAGAACCTCAAACCAGGGCAGCACAGTGCAGAGCAGGTGGGAAGCAGGCACCGGGATGAGCTGGCTGAGGCTGTGGGATCGTTTATTGGGACTGTGTCCAGCCAGGCCGCAGTGCCACCTGGGCCTGAGCCCAGAGCCCCCAGGAAGTGGGGTGGGGGAGGGGAAGAAGTGCAGAAGGCTCTGTGCCCCAGGTTCAGCCCCAGTCCAGTCTCCTTCGGTGCAGCAGGAGCAGTGGGGCAGTGCTCAGGTGAGCGAGGTGTCATCGTCACTGCCCTCGCCACCAGCGCCACCCACTCGCTCCTCCCGACTCTCTGCCACGGAGCTCTCGTCGATATTCTCTAGCGAGTCTGCATGCTGCACGGACAGCTCTGACAAGGCCAGGCTGGGCAACGGGCTCTGCTCCGGGTGCAGCCAGGGCTTAAAGTGCGGCTGGTGCTTCTGCTTCCACTCTGGGTACTTGACACACGCCTTGTACATCTTCTTCATGGCCTGCAGACCAGCACGCAGTGTCAAGGACAGCTGGGACAACCCACACTTCCCCAGGTCCCTCCAAGGGCTCTCTGCCACTCCCCCATCCCAACCACACATCCCACGCTTCAGCTCCACTTCCACCCTGATTGGGGCCTAACCTCATTCTCTAACTCTGCCTATGACTGGTCTCCACCCTTGGCCCCACCCCCTGGCTCCAGAGCCAACCCCAACCCTCTTCCCAACCAGGACAGCTCAAAGTCCCAAGGCAACTCACCTTGGGGGCCAGGAACTGAGAAGATTTATTCACCACCCACTTGGGTAAGGAGCCTGTGGGGCAGGGAAGGGTAGGAGGTGAGAAAAGGAAGAGGTGGCCTCAGATATCCAGCCCTATCCCTCTCCTCCCCGCCCTCTGTCTGGGCTTCAATGAAGCCATCTTCTCCAAGGAAGAGGTAAGATGGTTCTCAAGACAAGGAGTGTCTTCGTTACTCCTTCCTACATGAGGTCCTCAGGCTCAACTCTGTCCCCACTGTCCCTCTGCTGAGTTGCAGAGCTTCATGGAAGAAAATCACAGGGTCCCAGGTGATCCCAGGCTACTTGTAAGTTGTAATTCTGATCCAACGAACTTTACCCTGCTGTCTCTGTCCACTCTCATACCTAACTCCTCCATCATGACTGGTTCAGCCCTTCTTTTCACTTTCCTTCTAAACCCCCTTCCCAGATACATAGGCCCCTAGGCTAAGTACCCCAGCCTGCCTGACCTGAAATTCACAGTTCAGCTCACTACCTGTCTCCCTACCTGGCTCTTATACCTAATGCACTCACTCAACGAAGGCCAGGGAGCTCTGGCCTTGGGGCACTGTGCCCACTGGTCTCTGGGTGTGAGCAGCAAAGATATTCAAGACTTAACAAGCCTCTAGCCATTCACTCAATCAGTTCACTCAGTCCATATTCGCTGTAACACCCCATCCTGGACTAGCTTTGGGAATTCAAAGATGAACTCATTGTCTGGGGTCCAGCCTGTGCCAGGTGTTCTGTTGGAAGGGAATAAGTCTACAGTGCAAGAAGCAGGACTCATTCCCTTGGGGATCAGGGACAGAGAGGAGACCTGACACAGTCTTGGAGGGCTGAGGAGGGAGCAGAGGTGTAGATAGCTAGCTGAGGGAAAGAGAATGAGAAAGTATACAGATATTAAGGGGTTGAAAGACTTAGGCAGAGGCTCAGAGTAGACTCCAAGGACAATGAAGTGTCATAGAAGCATTTTAAGCAAGTAAGAGACATAAGGAAATAAGCATTTTAGAAAAAAATTCTCCAGTAGCTTCAGACAGATTAGGTAGCTGCAAATGGAAATGATAGGGCCAGGAGTGATATTGGAGGGCAAATCAGGAATAATCAGGGACTCCACTGGAAGCTGAGGAAAAGTGCTGAACCACAGGTGCTTGGTGGGGGGTGACTGGAAGGCTGAGACTCAGAAGAAAGGGCAGGTCCAGAGCAGGAGGTAGGAGTTCAGCTTTGGAGATAGTATGTCACAGGTACCTCAGAGACATCCTGTGGTAGACATATATCTAGGATGTGATAGCCACAGGAGTCTGGGCCTCAGCAGATAAAGACTTGTGGTCAGCTGCAGAGCAGTCATGGGAGTGGATGAGCCCCCCCAAAAAGGGAGAAAACAGGCCTGGGGTTTCCAGGATGGGAAGAGAGGAGAGCAGAAAAGACTGATCAAGGAGAAGCAGCCAGTGAGCAGGAGCAGATCTGTGTAGGAGATGTTAGAGCTCATGAGGAAAGCTCTAAGCCTGTGCAGAGAAGCAAGCTGCCATCTTTGCCAATTCTTTTCAAACCATTGGCTTTGGATGGGGACATTCCCAATACAAAACCACTCCTAACAGATGGCCTTCCAGATCCCTAAAAATCAAACCCATTCCCTAGGGTACAGGGAAGGATCCCATGACAGGCTGCTAGTGTGAAGCCCTCACCTTTGGGGTCCACCTGGGCCAGGTAGGTGATGACGCAGCTCTTGGGCCCCGTGCTCTGGATGAGGTAACCCGTCTGGATGGACACAGCTCGGACCAAGTCTTTCCGAGGTGGATATTTCTGGGGATGGAAGGCACAGGGAAATGTCTCAGGTGCAGGCAGAGTCAAAATGTCTTTGTGATAGATACATGCACGCACAAACATGCATACATACACAGTTCACATCCTCTGGCCAGGCCTGAGGTGGGGCAGGGAAAAAGGAAGTGGACCAAGTCATCTTTGCCCTATCTTGCTTTCTCGAAAAAGTGCCAGTCTAGGGTCAAGGCTCAAGAGCATTTAGAGACACATAACCCATATCCAGACCAGCCATGTCCTCCCAACATGGCCCCCTCCTCAGGCAGAGCCACAGGATCCTGCTGTCTCCTACCAGTTTCCTGGCTAATATCATCCCAGAACTCAGTAAACCAGTCAGGTCATTCCCACCCCCTCGCCTGAGAAGTCCACACTGCCTCTCCTGATCTGCTTGAGAGCCCCAGCAGGGAGACAGAACCCATTATCCTTACTGTAGAAGGAAACTGAAGGCCAAAGGGACTGTGCTTGCCCCAAAGTCAATCAGAAGTCACTGTGGCAGCCATAGCCCAGCCCTGCCTGGATCCTTCCTCTGCCCACCCAGCAAAGAAGTCAGGTCTACTCACAGGATGTTTGACTGAGTAGTTCATAATGATGTAATCAGCGCCCATGGGGAGCCAGGAGCGGAGGGTGATGACATCACGGTTCTTCAGAGGCTTGGGACACCTCCCTGTGGAGGGCAAGGACAGTTCAGCCAGACCACAGGCCCACCTGCCTGCAGGGTGGGAAGGCTGGGGGGGAAGGGGAGCATTGCACATGGCAGAGGCCAAAGATCTGGAGATGCCTAATTAACTGCCAGCTACTCCTAATCCAAACAGATGCATCCACCACCACAGTCCCACAGCTGGAACTAGAGCAGAGAGAAGCCCTGCCTTTAATACCTCCTCACAACTTCACCTAGCCTATACCTGATCTGGTCTGTTTGTATATGTGAATGCTAGTGTATGAGAGAAGAACAGAATTATTGGGACTGTGTGTGTAAATGTGTGTGAATATGTGGCTGTGGTGTGGACATGATGGAGTATGCTTGTGTTTGTACGAGGTATATCTTTGTGAACATGTGTGTGCATATTGGTAAGTGTACCCATGGGTGTGCCCCAAGGAGAGGATAGCCTTGGTCTCTGGCTGGTTGGCCATGGAGAGGGCTTCAGGGAGGGAAGTGGGGAGGAGGATGTTTGTGCCTGCTCACAAGAATAATAGCCCACATCAGCATTGACAGTAAGGCGGGCGATGTCGAAAGTCTCAATGACGTTGCTATCCCACTTCTTTCGGTATTCAATGTCATGTAGGACGTCATAGAGCGTCTCAGCTGGCACGTCACGGCACTCCATCCGGCACTGCAGACAGACAATGATTGTCAAGGTCACAAATGGCTCAAATCTGGCCAGGAGACCAGAGGGTCCCTATACAAGTATAGGGAGAAGGAAGAAGGGGAGGAACAAGGGCTATGAAGCCAACATGGACTCACTTCTTAACCACAAGCCTGGTCCAGCTCCCCCAGAAGCCACTCTCTGAAGCCATCCATATACAGCACCAGCCCCTCCTCCAGAAACCTTCCCAGGTAGACTGTCCCTGTTCCCATACATTCTCTACATAGATGCTCTCCTAGACCCCTGTGGCTCCTACCAAGAAGAAATTTGCAGTTGATTCAGATGGACCCTGGGACTGATATATGCTAAATGAAAATGGAAATGAAAAACCAATACTCTAATACATTGTTTCTTTCCTTTCCTAGTACTAATCACCTGACTGTACTGCTTGCCCTCCGAGTGTGTATATGTGTGTGCATGTGCACGTGTGTGCATGTTGTGTATGTTTGTGTGTAATTAAAAAACCATCATTAGTATCTTCCTACTTCATAATCCTTGCATATTAGCTTCACTTACTGTAATATTCCCTCTCAACAACTCTACCAAAGAGAAACCCAAGGAGGAACTTGAGGCTAAAAGAGGTTAAATAAGTTGCCCACAGCCTGGTAAGCAGTAGGGCTGGAATTTAACCCAGCTCACATATCTGGAATGTAAGTAAAAACAGGACCAGGTTTCCCTAGACATGCACTCTGAAAGATGAAACTCAATGTTGTTCTGTGATTTCTTTTTTTTTTTTTTCACCCAAGAGCCCAACCCCCAAGATCAAGTTGCCCTCAGCAAATGGATGAGATTTCTATAAAGGTGTCTCAAAGAGCATTCAGGCAGTGCAAGGAAACCACATATATTACTTTGCACTCACAGGAGAGACATGCAACCCCGTAAGGGAGGAGCTGCACTGCCTCCCTTCTCAATCCTAATGATGGGGACAGGCTCCCACAGCAAGGCCAAGCCACACCTGTTGAGGATTCTAATAACACAAAACTCATCAGGCCCTACACAAACTTCAGATCACAGAAAATAAAGAGGAACCAACTATGTGACACCACAAGAGGATAATCAGACAACACCAGATGGGGACATTCTACTGGCCCCTGTCTCTTCACAGGACACTTTCACATTGACAGGTCAAGGTCATAACAAAGGAACTTGGCAAGACAAAGCCTCTAAGAGGATATACCAACCACCTGTAAAGTATGGCCTGGATTGCATAGTGATCGGGACACCACCTCTAAGGACATTTTTGAGTGATTGGAGTATTCGATGTGCTGAAATTTTGCAGGAACAAAATGGCGGAGGGAAAACCCAGGTAACAAAATGGAAGGTAGAATATAATCTCCATCTCATTTTAGGAAAACAAATGTATGCTTAGAAAAGGAACTGTGGTTCTGGTGGTAAAACACCTGACTAGCAAGCACAAATGTGTGTGTGTGTCAAACCCAAGTACCACTAAAAAGTAACAGGAAGGAAGGGAGTGAGGGAAGGACAGAGAGGGGGAATTTTTTTTTTTTTTTTGCCAGTCCTGGGGCTTGAACTCTATGCCTGGGCACTGTCCTTAAGCTGCTTTTTGCTCAAAGCTAGTGCTCTGCCACTTGAGACCACAGCACCACTTCTGGCTTTTTCTGTTTATGTGGTACTAAGCAATTGAACCCAGGGCTTCATGCATGCAAGGCAAGCACTGTACCACTGAGCTACATTCCTAGCCCAAGAGAGGGAAATTTTTAAATAAAAATTCTCCCAAGATGTGATTCAGAGGTATTGTGCCTACCTAGCAAGGAGGCCGCCCTCAGTTCATATCCCATTACCACCAACAGAAGACATAGTGGGAGACCATACAACCAGGTATTAGACCTAATACTTTAGGAACATTACCTCATTTTACAGTAATGTTCTAGGGGGTTAGCCCTATTTTAGAAATAAGAAAGTGAAGTCCAATCTGGGCACCAGTGGCTCTTGCCTGTAATCCTCCTACTCTGGAAGCTGAGATCTGAGGATCAGTGTTCAAAGCCCGCCCAAGCAGGAATGTCTGTGAGACTCTTATCTCCAATAAGCCACCAGAAAATTATTAGTGGAGCTATGGCTCCAAGTGGTAGAACATTAGCCTTGAATGAAAAGCTCAGAGACAGCACCTGCCCTTAGTTCAAGCCCTACAACTAACCAAAAACAACCCCAAAACACTAAAGTTCAAACTGAAGGTGGAGCTCAGTGGAAGAGTGTGCGCTTAGCATATGCAAAGCCCTGAGTTCAGTCTCCAGCACCAAAAGAAGAAGAAGAGGGAGGGAGTGGGGGGACAGAGTAAAAGAGAAAGAAAAAAAAGGAAGGAAAAAAGAAAGTCAAGGGGAAGGGGTAGATAAATGGATAAATAAAGGGAGGAGGGGGAGAACTCAGTTATAATATTCAATGCATATCCTATGACATTAAGAAAATTGGGCTGGGAATGTAGTTTAGTGGTAGAGTGCTTGCCTAGCATGCATGAAGCCCTGGGTTCAAATCCTCAGTACCATATAAATAAAAAAGCCAGAAGGGGTGCTGTGGTTCAAGTGGTAGAGTATTAACCTTGAGCAAAAGAAGCTCAGAGACAGTGCCTAAGCTCTGAGTTCAAGCCCTAGGACTGACTAAAAATAAAAATTAAGAGCTGGGAAGGTAGCTCAATGGTAGAGTGCTTGCCTTGCATGCCTGAAGCCCTGGGTTTGATTCCTTGGCACCACATAATCAGAAAAAGCCGGAAGTGGCGCTGTGGCTCAAGTGGTAGAGTGCTAGTCTTGAGCTGAAGAGCTGAGGGCCCAGAGTTCAAGCCCCATGACTGGCAATAAATAAATAAATAAAAATTAAGAAAATTGAAAGGGATGGGGAAGAATGATGAAAAGGGTGACATCAATCAAGATTCATGTACTTAACTGATTTGTTTAATGGTAACTTCTTTATACAACTACTTTTTTTCTAGTGTAAAATTTTTTTAATTTTTTTTGTTTTTTTTTTAAATTTTTTATTCCAAGTTTTTTTTTAATTATCTTTTTTGTACAACTACTTAAATACAATAAAAATATAATTTAGCCAGGTGCTGGTGTTTCATGTCTGTAATCGTAGCTCCTTAGGAAGCTGAGATCTGAGGACTGAGGTTAAAAGCCATGTTAGGCAGGAAAGTACTTACAACTGTTATCTCCAATTAACCACTAAAAAGTCATTAGTACAGCTGAGGCCCAAGTGGTAGAATGTGAGCCTTGAGCAAAAAAGATCAAGGCAGTGCCCAGGCCCTGAGTTCAAGCCCAGCACCAAAAAGTGAAAATAAATAGAAGAAAGGAAGAAATAGAGAGTGGGGGGGGGGGAGAGGGAGAGGAAGAGGGAAAGAAAGAAAGAGAGAAAGAAAGGGAGGAAGGAAGAGAAAGAGAGGAAGGAAGAAAGGAAGGAAGGAAGGAAAAAATGAAGCAAGAGAGAGGGAGAAAGCCTGCCAAGTGTGACCTAGAAAAGGGTGTGACTAAAACCCATCACTGAACCAGCAGCCCCCAGTTTCAGCTCTGTCTTCCAAGCCAAGAGGAATCAGAGAGAAATCTGAAGCCTAGGCTTCCAGGTGAAGGAGAAAAACTGCTTGTAAATGAGCAGTTGCCCCGAAGAGTCCAGTGTAACTCCTTGGGATGGATGGGGATCAGGTTCAGTGGAGAAGGGCCATCTAGGAGGGAAGGTATGTGCCAATAACCCTGGCAGAGAGAGCAGCCAGTGCCAAGGGCCAGAAGCAGCATGAGTACAGCAAGCAAGGAGGCTGAATGAGTCCATCTGGCTCAAGTTTTCATGGTGTGGTGTATCTTGGAATCAAAAGGCCCCTGAGTCTAAGTCTTCTTGGAGAAAGGAGTCATTCCAGTGCTAGGTCTGAGAATGCATAGGATGAACTTGGAACATCTTACTGTACCCAGAAGAAAAGAAGCACTCCAAGAATGACAGTGATCCTGTCCAGCAGACATGAGAGCCAGCCTGAGGGGCTCCTACTGATTTGCCATCAACTCCTGGGTTTATCAAGAACTCCCAATTTGCTATAAAACTCTTTTAGGGAGGCTGGGAAGGTGGCTCAGTGGTAGAGTGCTTGCCTTGCATGCCTGAGGCCCTGGGTTCGATTCCTCAGCACCACATAAGCAAAAAGAAAAAAGCTGGA